GGGAGGGAGGAAAAGACGAACCACGAGGGAAAGGGAGGAAATCATGTGGGTATTCAAGAAACAAAGAAGGAGAGGAGGGAGGGAGGAAAGGAGGGGAAAGGGAAGCTGGTTATTAAGCGGTTATGGTTTCTTGAAGCGCGTGATGTTGGGGCGAGGAGGATGGGGATGAGGTAATTGAGAGTGAGCCAATCGGAGGCGGAGAACCGCGTGGCGTGTGGGGTGTATGGCCAGGATGACATATACAAGGCCGACAATGGACAATGGCTGGTTCCGCTCCTGCCGCGGCTGCGGTGGAGGTGGCTGTAATCAGCACACGCGTGTGTTTTCCCCACCGCGAAACACAAACAAAGCTTATGGGAAAACACAGCACGCCGTCATTTCACCGCGGGTAATCCTCTATCACCGCGAAGGGCGAATGGCAGGGGAATGCCAGGCGGACATGATCCCCAAAGTGCCCAAACGCAGCCACAAGGCATAACTACAGTAAGTGGTTGTCACCGCCAGCCGTTCGCAGGTTGCGAAGAAGCGGACCGGCCGAAGAGGGAGGTCACTCGCTTGGGAAAGCTTGGGCCTGGCAAGGGCCGTCAGACTTTCACCATTCGTATCCCTCTTCCGCGGCAACACGCACTTTGAGACAATCGTCGCCGGCCCCGAAGATCCACAATGTTTGCCAGCCGCTCATACAGCCCACGGAGATCTACCCGCCCGGCAGCCGCCAGCACATCAGCCTGGCAGAGGGGTACGCTGCAGCAGCGCGATGCAAGAAGCATGCGTGTGCGTTGTGCAGTTTTACGAGGTGAGACTGGAGGTGCTGCGCATGCACTAGATGGCTGCTTGTAAAGTTGGGTATAGCTACCATAAGACAAAAGGGATCGGGGACCCAACGAGCAGCTTGCCGTGTTCGGCAGCAAAACTCGCGCTGGGTTCCTCACCTTTGAGACGAGACCTGCACGCAGGTCCGCTCAAGCATACTTTCGTCATGGAAATTCAAAAGTTTCTCGACATGCTGCTTTAGCGGATCCAGAGAAACAACATTGCCGGTGCAGCGAAGTTCCACGCCCCTTGACTGTGACATTTCCTTGACTTTCCTCCAGAAAACAAACGCTCGCCAATAACTCTAAAGTCAATTACAGATGTAAGATGTTAAGCGTTACGTACGTGCTTCTGGGGTCCACAGTCAGCAATCCTTGGGGGTTAGCCCCTTGTCCTGACTGTATTGTCATAAAGCGAACAAACGTCTAAGCACATCTGAGTCCTGTTTGCTGAGGGAATACAGCCATGGAACCCGTTGCAACGGCATACTGGATTTGGATTCAGTTAACTGGTTTCCCGACCCGGGCGTGTAAAACAAAGTGTTTATGACACCAAAGGTTTTGTTTTTTTAAGCTGCAAACAACTCAGACCTCCCAAGGCTTTACAGAAACCATGATTGTCTCTGCGCAAATTGTCCTACAGCGGTTTCGAGCAGTTCTCTTTCCAAGCTCCGCCTTGATTAAGAAGGGGTCCTGCTGTCCATGGCGCAAAAGAGCTCTACACATCCACAGCCGCTTGGGCAGGCTTGGGCCTGCTGAATATCATATGAGGCATCAGGATAGATGGGTATTTACCAATTATTCGTCTCCAAAAGCACAGGCATGCAGCGGTGCTTTCCGAAAACCGTCGAAGCCTGGGTTACCAAGGAAAGCGCAGGTGCCCGAAGAAATCAGGGAGCATCGGCCTGGGGGCCGGCCAGCACAGCATTTCCCTGGGAAGCGCCTAGCTTCAGCGTTTTGCAGGCTGCATCAGGCTTTGCTTCGACGGCCACTACGTGGGCAGTAGTGCTTGGAAAGGGCTGGCAGGATACGCTGTGTGGGGCTGAGCCCTGTGAGCATTTTCCTTGCTGCGTCTTCATCCGTCTTCAGATCGACCGCCCTTTCAAATTAAGCAGGCCTCGCCCCTTAGGCGGGGCAACCCGGCCCTGCTATTCACCCTGCCACTCAGCACATCGAGTAGAGCTCCCAGTCTCCTGCGCCCACTCCATCTCGCTCGAACCAATCGGCTTTCCTGGTCTCTACCATGCCCTGACCTGCCCTTTCCGTACATTACAACGGCAGGTACACCCATTCTTACATTAAAACACCGTACATGATGTACATGTTCCCGTACGTTCCACGCTCTATATATTTGTTTAAAGCCGTTAGGATAAACTAAACTAAACTAAACCATTATTTCATAAAAAGCAGCAGCAGCTGTCCTCGTATCTGCAGGATTAAAAAATTGTTTGAAGGAGCCATTCTTTTGTTCACTAAAGCAACAACCTATTGTCTTTTCGCCTGCCCTACTGCATTCACACACCTGCCCGCTGGCGTCATCTCTCCTTAAGAAAGACTCCGCCCCGCCCATTCCCGCTGCAATCACACATTCCTAAGAAATGATGGGAGGGCCCTGCTCCTTGCACGAGGAATCCCGTGGCACAACATACGATCTTCCGCGCCTCTTCCCCGTCATAGCGAGGGGAGGGGTATGAACCAAGGTTCTGAAGGCATTACGCACGACGCCAGGATAATCCCGTAGTACGGTATACTAGTCCGTCGGCTCACATCGTTCCGACAGGCACTCACAACAATCAGCCAGCCTTCAGGAAAGAATGCCATGTCCATGTCCATGACTATGATCATGCCACGTCGTATAGAAAGGCATATACCACAGTAGCAAACTCTACCCACCTACACACCCCCTGCACGTCACATCACCTAGCCGTCCCCATTGCCGTCTGAATATGTGGCCCCAGCAGCCGCCTGAGCACCAACTCAACCAAGCAAAAGGCGCATACATATACCTCCTCCTAACTCACCCCGTTCCCTTCCGGCTGTTCTTCCCGCACCTGCACACGTATCTCCTGGATGCCGCCCCAAAAGAGCTTTGGTCGCTGATTCCCGAAGTACACCTACAGTTAAAACCGAGCTAAAAGGATTCCCGATATGCACATCAAACAAAAAACCGCCTGCAACCATCAACTTCCACTAAAAAAGCAGCAAACGCCTTTTCGCGCGCACTGTCGAGCGCGCGAGAAGTGTGGCTTAAACGGGAACGCGGAGTGCGCAAATGCAATATCCATCCAAGACAGGCCCAACAGCATTTCCAGCATCTACACTTCTGTAAGGCACGGCGGCCTTGGCAACGGGGGAAGGATATTGTACGTGCGTGCGTGCGTGCGTGCGTGTCCTTGCTTTGCGGGCTTATGCTATGCCAGAACCAGATACACCAACTAGCTAAACCAGGCAGGTAGCCACCTCTCTGCCTCCCTCCACATGCCCAAGGATGGCTCCGAAACTAACCTCCAACTGCACACGCACGCTAACTGTCCCTAGTCGGCGACCCGAGTGCTACTTATAAATAGGTGGAGAGGCTGGAAGGCCTCGCACCTCCGAAAAGTAAATAAAACTAAACGGGATATTACGGCGTAAAGGCGGCACGCGGTGTCGCGCGCACTCGCGGGGGATTCCCGCACGCACGATCCACTCACGCCCTAAATAACCGCGACCCACACGAGCACTACTGTAATGTACGTGCCCCTACGCTTGCAAGCGTGCGCAAATCATCAGACAAAACAACGCGACAGGCAGACGGATGGACAGACACCTAGACACCCACTTGGCGACAGGCTCAGACAGACAGATAAAATTTGCACGCAGAATAGCGATGGCAGACAGACAGACAGACAGACGGATAGGCAAAAACAAGCATAGAGGATTATAAAAATAACTTGTTAAAGCAAATTTCCTATTGTGTCTATCTGTGTGTGTGTGTGTGTGTGTGTGTGCACAATCGCGCACTGCGGAAAGGAATAAGGCTAGGCTCACACGAAAAAATCCTTAAGGAACAGTGTACAAGTAGAAAACTGTCCCTTTCACTGGATCCAATTCCCTTCTCCGCATGCCACGCCATCACCGCATCTTGAACAATCAAGCCATTCTGGCAAAGAACAGCGACGACCGGCGCTGAACCGGAATGCGGCGGAGGCAGCTGAGGTAATCTGCAGCAAACTTGCGTTGCATAGCTACCGCCGCAGCGCTCTTGATGCCTCTATGTTCGCAAATCCCGTACCGCAGGCCGGCCGATTTAACCATTCGATGCGAGCCGTTGTGGTGTTGGTGATGTGGTGCTGCTGGCGGTGGCGGTGCTGCTGGTGGGCGGAAATCAATGACCCACCAAAAAGATATGGGAGTCCTCCTAGGGAGGCAATCAATGACCTACGTACCTGCCAGACGGAGAACCACCAGCCACCAGCCATAATTACCACAAGACAGTCTGTTGCTTGCAACACACATACACACACATACGCACACACACATACGCACACACACATACGCACACACACATACGCACACACACATATGCACACACACATACGCACACACACATACGCACACACACACGCACAAGCATGCAGAGCACTCATTACTAAAATACGAACGCAGACACCCACGCACACAGCAAGCTTGATGGCCTAAAACCACCGGGTAACAGTTGCCGTAAAGACCACAGCGTCAAGCTATGGATGCTTAGTCAACGTCACAGCCGGCGTGTTGAAACGTTATGAAAAGATATGGCCGCCGCCACCATTTTCGTAACGCCATTTTCGTGACGGAAAGTCGGTCGTCATCACAGCAATATCATCCTCATACACAGACCTCTCATGTACGACCTAGAAATGCCGTACATGCACCATTGCAAGTCAGAGGGAGGTCCAGGGAGTCAAGGCGCCGTACCGGAAAAAACGCCGTAAAAAGCAATCCCTAAGTCCTTCCTTCCTTCCCTCCATCCCTTTCTTCTCCCGCGGTTTCCTAGTTCAAGTAATTCTATTTGTACGGGGCGGGGGCCAGGGAGGAAGGAAGGAAGGAAGGGAAGGAGATGTACACATGCATGCCGCCCTTCATATTACGGAAGGCCTGGGGGAACCAGACGCCCTCCAAAATCCGCTCTAAGGCCCGCGGCCGGTTGCAGCTTTCTTCCCTTATCCCTATTTATCCTACTACAACAACAACAACAACCTCTTTTGCTCCCCAGCCAGGCAGTCTTAGAATTGCTCGATGAAGTGGGGGGTGGGTTGCGTCATGAAATGGGGAACCACATTACACCACACTACACTAAGTGTATGCTGCACGCGCGCGGATGTGACACACCGTCCGGCGGTTCTCAGCAAATGCGACAGTTATGGTTTAGGATTTGAAAATTCTCCCATCAATGAGATGCAATCGTCGACGCATAAAGTCAAGGTCGTAGCTCCTAAAGGCTCCCGCCGAGGCTCGCTTCTATTAAGGAACCCCGCTTTTCCTCCCCCTATGCAGCATTTTCCCTAGCTCACCTTCGCAGTTCGCTCAGGTCTCACTCTCTGTCCCTCTCTTAATACACTCCCATCATCCTCTCGACGACCAACCAATCAACCAATGCGCGCTTTACTGAGGGTCAATCAACAACTAGACAAACCAACCAGACTTTTGCGGCGGGGCCTTTAGCAGGAAAAACGTCTCCGAAACAACAAGGAGGCGGCCGTGCCGGAGTGTATATATATGCGAATTCGCTCGTGCCTATCGCATTCGCGCGCGGGTTCACCGCACCATCAAGAAGGCGCACATTTCTCTATGTCCCAGCCTTGTGTCACGTTAATTTGTGTCACTTAAAACCTTTTGGGGGGAAGGTCACTTCGTTTCGTTTAGTGCAGCACGCTGAATGCCATCTTAGCAGAAGCAATAGCATCTACTTCACATGGCTGGCAGACTTCGTTACGATCAGAAATCAGCAGAAAACTAAGGGGCTTAACGGTAAGATGCCCTCGAAGCGTCCTTGCTAGAGATAAAGACTTGACAAGCGCAGGGGCCACTCCTAAGCCCAAGGGTCCCTGCCAAGTAAAACCCGGCGGCCCCCAAAGAGTCCCGCCCCATCTACCAACACCACGCGTTGTCAAAAAACGATGGACACCATTCTCGTCGGCTAAACAAGCTGTAAGGATGATAGAATCAAAAGTGCAAAAGTGCCTGAAAGCAAGGTAGTAGGAGTTAAAGGGCAGTAGAAGTACATACACCGAAAACATTTGGGTGCGGGACACATCATGCGGGGCATCAAAAGTACATATTGGGAGGCAAGTCTGACGTCAGCATGGAGCTGAGCCACATGGAATCCCCCTCCAACTCCGTCATGGACTGGTCCGGGCCCCAACATCCCCCAGGGCTGCCAAAACCCCCGGCGCACGACCTCGGCGTGCCGTTACCAACCCCCTGACCAAATTGTTGTTGCTGCTGCCCCTGCTGTTGTTGCTGACCTTGCTGTTGCTGAGACGGCGGAATTGGACCGACAGTTGCCGCTGCCGCCACTGCCCCCGCCGCCGCAGCGGCAGCAGCAGCAGCAGCAGCAGCAGCGCTCCGTGGCGTTGCCCCGTCCCCCCCAGCAGCGGGTGCCGACTGAGTTCGCATCAAGGAAGGCCCCTTGGGTTGCATGGAAGCTGCTGCAGCTGTTACGCTGGTTGCAGCGTACGGCGCTGCAACTGGGGTAACGGAGGGTGGAGCGGCAGGCGCAATAGCGGTGCCGTACACTGTGCTGCCGCCGCCGCTGGTCCGCGCTCCCGACGGGTCGTCCCTGGCCTCATACTGCATGCATGCGGTGAAGCGATTGCGATCAGCGGCTGCTGTGCGTCGACTAACCCCAGAACTCCGGGATCTTAATCACCCGCATTAATAAAGACTTGCTCCAAGGAGGACTCTCACCCGGAGCAACGTACACGAGACACGGCCTGCAAACTGGTTCGGTGTTACCGTCTATGTATTTGTTCATTATTGCATTGTTACCATAGCCCCTTAGCTCATTATTCTTGCACTGCTTACCGTACTTTGTAAACGCATGCCAAATTAAAAGGAGTGGAGGTTTACCAAACGATGGGATCATCGTTGCATGTGGCATGGCCCATGACACCACCACGAGCCTGGTTAGGTGCCTCGGTTTAGCGCAGGCGTTGCGATTCTTTCTTCTTTGTCACCGTCAGCAAATACTCACCTGCACCTGCAGAGCACGGAGACCTGGCCCATCCCTCGGATCACCACCGCCGAGCGCGACAGCTAATTGCTGCTGGGCTAAACCGCCTCCCGAAGCCGACTGCTGTTGCTGTTGCTGCTGTTGCGGCAGCGGCGTCGATTGTTGGTGTGGTTGTTGTTGCTGTTGTTGCTGCGGCAGCGGCGCCGACTGCTGCTGTTGGTGTTGGTGTCGTCGCTGCTGCTGCTGCTTCTGTTGTTGCTTTTGTTGTTGTTGTTGTTGTTGCTGCTGCTGGTGGACACGCGGTGCTTTGTCCACCCTGCCGTCCCCGGCGTCGCTGCGTTGCCATCGATGTAACATGTCTGCCATTGGGCGATCCGCCATTTGTTGCTCCTGCTGTTGTCGCAGTCCTTGTTGCTGCTCCTGCTGTTGCTGTAACGTCTGCTGCTGCTGCAAGAGAACTGTCACGTATGTTTGCGGGGCTCCTCCCGGTTGGCTGTGCCGCCGGGAAACAGACGGCGAGGCGAGCTGCCGCACCGCTGCCGGCGCCTCACGCGCCATAGGCGGCGTCAGCACCAACGACGGGCCTTGCCCCATCGTTGACCCCGCCGCCGCCGCCGCCGCCGCAGACGACGACGACGCTCCGCCGGGCATCGCCACGGCCGACCCCGGCAACGGCGCCGACGGCGCGGAGGTAATGGGAGGAGATCGGAACGCGGTGTGTTGCACCAGCGTTGCACCAGTGTCGAAAGGTCGTGCGGTGAAAGGCAGCGGACCTCCCGGTATCGCCAAGCCATGAGACCAGGAGTTGATGCGCATATGGTTTAGATCCTGGGGCTCTGAGGATCCGGCGGCGAGAGCTGCGCGGCCGAACAGGAAACAGTGCGGCAGCGAAGGTACTTGCTGTGAATGGGCCTGCGCCTGTCCGAGCAGGGCTTGCGCCTGCTGCTGTTGCTGCGCCTGCTGCTGTTGTTGTTGCTGCTGTAATTGTTGTTGTTGCTGCTGCTGTTCCTGCTGCATCTGCATATGTTGTTGTTGTTGTTGTTGTTGCTGTACTTGCAGTTGTTGCTTCTGCACTTGCAGGTGCTGCTGGAGTTGCTGCTGTTGCCGTTGTTGCTGCTGCAGCTGCTGTTGCATCTGTTCTTGGTGTTGCTGCATATGTTGCTGTTGTTGTTGCTGCTGCTGCTGCTGCTGCTGCGCAGCAACAGCCACAGCGGAGTGCACCTGGATGCTGTGCCCGCCTGACGAAAAGCTCTGAGAGCGCGCGGGTTGTTGTTGCTGCTGTTGCTCTTGATGCTGCTGCTGGAATGATGATGAAGGCTGGCTTCCTACCCAAGCCGGGGAGGACGTGTTTCCGCTATCAGGACTGAGGACGCTCATGCTCGTACAAGATCCATGTACGGCAGGATCACTTGTGGGCGAGAGCTGTTGCTGCTGCTGCTGCTGCCGGACGTCACAAGGCATCGTCTGCGGAATCAAACGCGGTAGTGGCGGCAACCCTGGCGTGGATGCGGCCACCAGCAGCTGCTCTCCCCGCACCGAGGAAGTGAGGGCTAGCCGGCCGGCAGGTGTCAGCTGTTGCAGCTGCCGGTTATACGGCACTGCCGCTGCTGCTACTCCTGGTCCAGCCGGTGCATCCATCGCGGTGTCTTGGCGTTGGTGTAATCCGCGAAGTGAGGGTTCGGAGCCGGAGCTATGGAGCTGATACACGAATCGACCTCGTACGTCGGGCTTATGACCCGATGGGCCGCAGCCGGTGGCAGGAAGAGGTGCTGGTGCTGCCGTATTTAGCCATGTCGCAGCCGCGGTGGGCTGGGAGGAACGCTGTGGCTGAGCGGCGGTGGCGGCGCCGCCACCGCCGCAAGGCGCCCCTGCCGTACCACTCATCAGACTATGGTCGCTGCTGAACTGTTCTCTGGGAGGCCAGTTGGTAGCGTTGCTGGCTGGCTGCTGCTGCGGCTGCTGTGGCTCACCGCTGCTGACGTCCAGCGTGTGCGGAGATGCAGGGCCCGGCGTAAGGCAAGGTACTTGGGACAAGGAGCTCGGTGCGTTACGCTGCGACAGAGAACAACAGAGCGGAAAGCAGGCAGCGAAGCGTTTGAGGTCAACTGACCTTTCCTTGCGTCTTGTTTTTTTCTCGCGAAACCAGGCGGGACCTGCACATGCTCTACGGTACCGTCAAAACACCGCTACCGTCAAAACGCACCGCGAATTGCACAAAGCAAAAAATGGTTGGATATTAAGTAGTTTACATCCTTGCCATGCGCCTGCACAAAGCCGCATTTCTTCTCCCCACACATCCACCTCGCACCGAAGGGAGATCATGCAGCCCCGATGGAGGCTCCTGCTGGTGCTGCTTGCCCCCATATCGCGGCCCCATGCCTCTTCTGACGGCGGATCGGTCGCCCGGCGAGGATTCCCGCTTCAAGCCACCATCAACCGACGGCATCCAACCGGGCGACGCGGCCGCCGCCAGCTGCTGGTGATGTGGTTGCTGGTGCAGGTGGTGCTGGTGCAGTGCCGGCGGCGGCAGCGGCTTGCCCACCATGGGCGTCGCGCTCTCCATGGGACCGACTGGGGACGCGCCTGTGGTGTTCTGCGGCTGCGCACTGAGGACGCCCCAAGACGCGTCTGACGGCGTATGGCTAGCAACGACCCGGGCTGCACGGCTCCCTGATGGCAGCTGCTGCTGCTGCTGGGGCTGGTGGGGATCCTCCAGAGCCCATCCGCAGTAAAATGAGCCACCAGCAAGCAGCTGTTGGTGCTGTTGATATTGCTGTTGCGGGTTGGGCTGTTGCTGCAGCTCGTTCGGCATTTGGTGTACAGCTGTCCCGTGTTGCCGATCCAAAGGCTGTGGCTGCGGTTGCTGCTTCTGGTGAGCGGCCACGGCGGACGACGCGGCCAAGGACGTCTCCACGCATCGCTGAGTGTCTTGCCTCTGTGCCCCCTCATGCAAGGGCAGTCTGTGCTGGTGCTGTTGGTGTTGCTTCCGTTGCAGCGGCAGCAGCGTCAGCTCAGCATGTAGCAACACGGGCGGCTCCATGGCGTCAGGGGCGTCGTCAAAAATGGTGCGGAGGTCTCCTGTGGCCGTAGCCGTTGCGGCAGCTGCTTGCGTGGATCCCATCTGCTGTAGCTGTTGTTGCTGTTCTAGAAGCATCTGCTGCTGTTGTCGCTTTTGATGTTGCTGCTGGTGCAGCTGCTGGTGATGAAAGTGATGATGGTGGTGATGATGGTGGAAGTGTTGGAGCGCCAGCTGCTGTGGCTGTTGCTGCTGCTGCTGCTGCTGCAGTATTTGCAACTGTGGCTGCTGCGACAGCAAAGGTGGAACTCTGCCGCCGCCGCCGCCGCCACCTCCACTGCTGCTGCCGCCGCCAGCGCTGGTGTGTCCATACGAATGCGGTGGTTGTTGTGATTGCTGCTGCTGCTGGTAACTAACTGCGTTGGCTTGCGCGGCGTGTAAAGCGGGGTGTGCGCCAAGGCCTGCAGTGTCCCGTGGGTCGTCTTCCGGAATGCCCAACAGCGCATCCAGAGAGCCGGTGCTCATGTTGCTGCAGGCTCTGAGTAGCCCGGAGGTCCCGTACGCGGGTGGATGCTGCTGTGGGTACTGCTCCGCCATGTCCACTCCGAAACCCGGCGGTGCTAGCGGCGGCGCACACTCCGACCGCGGCACCTTGGGAACGCTGGGATCGGGCTTGACCGGAGAGATGGGCTGGGTGTGGCTCAGCGCACGGTGGCGGATCTCGGAGTGCGGGAAGCCCGTGATAACCACGCTGGGGCCTGCGACGGCGCCGACGGACTGCCGGGAGCTGAGGGAATTCATATGGTGGCCATGTGACCACCAGGTGCGGTGTGCGGTGCCTTCCGGGATGCCAGTTACTGTGCCTGCACCGCCGACGCGGCCGGAGAAGCTGGGGAGCTGGTGGAGGGGTCCGGCCTGGGCGCTGCTTTGACCCACGGGTCGTGGCTGGCGGCTTGTGGGGCCTACCAATTTGGACACGCCGCCTCGGGCGGGCTGTGCGGCGGCAGCGGAGTGGAGTTTGGGTCCTGCAGCTTGGCCCGTCCGGCGGCCGGTTGCAGCTGCACGTGGCGCGGGCTCGTCTGGGTCGGCTTCTTCTTCTTCTGTGGCGTCCATGGCACATGCGGACTCGATCCGCGCAGCTGCGTCCGCCTGCACGTTATGACAACTTTTCTCATAGCGTGTAGTATTGTAGAGGAGTGTAGCAATTCGTAAAATTTGCGGTGTAAAGTTCTGTGGCAATAAGTGCGTATTATTATGCGTGTGCGCATTACTCGCGGCGTGAGCGATGCTGGCGACTGAACAATAATAACCCAAATAAATCAAGTGCTTTGCGATGCAAAGCATGCTTCATGCTTCATCATTAAGGAAATCAATTCATTGACAGTTGGCCGTTGCTTATTCAAGTGTGAGTGCACGGAGAAACGACCGTTTCGCAGGTGATTTGGGAGGTGGGCTGCCCTTGAACTTGGACTCACCCGGCGTTGAGCGCGATAAGCGCGAAAGTAGTTGCGAACCTCGTCAACACTGTAATGAAGGGCAGTTGCGAGGATATTGTCAGATGCTACCTTGGTGCGACGCGAGAAAAACGAGCGCGAACTTATTACGGAAAAAACCGGTCACCACAGGCGATGGCCTAGACGACAGGATTGAGCCCAAGCTGATTGGAGCTATCAGAATGAATGACTCTGTAGGCCTTCCGTTGAGAAATTGAGGCGGTAACATGGTCACCCTTACCTGCGGAGGCACTTGGCGTGGATGCGCGTTTCCAGCATCGTAGGCATGTCATCCGCAGGCCAAATTTCGTGCGCATTGTCCTCATACCACCTTCAGGCAAAAATAGTGACCCTCGGCTTGTTGTATCTTGGAACTACGGGTTACTTCAGTCACGCAAAGCGTGGCACGTACCTGTTGATAGCTGCCGCTTCCGGTCGACGGCCGCTTTCCTCAAGAACTTGCCTCCACCATTCATTGAATTTGCTCCAGTAATTAACAGGCCGCCGGGAGTTGCCCTTGCTTACGACCTTGGTCATTATTTCAATTTCCGCACCAGCCGCAATTCAGCCAAAGCCTAAAGCCCCGGCTCACAACATTTCAATTTACATATGATCAATTATGCATGGGCATTTGCAAAGAGGCGTTGAACCCTATGCAGTGTCCTCTTTTGTATGCAGACCTAGGCGTCCTTCATAATCACGTCAGCATGGGGCCATCAGCGTATCTGCATCTTTGTGTGACTTCAGCTCTAGAGGGGCGGATTGCACGTTATCATTACGGCGATCGCGGCTGTCGCCCAACCGAGCTCAAGTTAAAAATGTACTGCACACCGGTAGGGTCAGTGCTTATGGGAGAGTCAACAATTTCAGCTCTTTATTTCCTTAAAATATTTTAATTGCACGGCCCGCACAGCACCTTGCACTTTTTCACAAGTTACACCTCAACCTGCAAATCCGGGAAAACTTGGACATCTCCCAAGTGCAGTCTCTGGAGAGTCGAAGGACCTATTAAGCCGTCAAAACCCATGTCAATCCTAGGGCCAAACGATCGCCGGCCCGAAGTGCAGTTACATGGCTCTACAGTCGCACACCTTCGGACGTGGCGAACGGAGTACGTTGATGAATACAGTGCGCCTAAGGTAAGGTTAAGGTGTGCTTTCCAATTATAAGCCAATATTGCTTCCAGAAGCAGTAGCTATGGGTTGCCTGTTATCACAGGAGCAACCCCACCCGCAGGAACCTTGACTCCGGCCGTGTCCAGCGCACCCGCGTGCGCATCCCCTCCGGCCTTGCTTGTTCTTCCTGTGATACTTTACACCTTTGCACTTCGGAGGTGTAGGCATTGCACAGCACAGACCGGCTTTGCATCCTGCATGTGCAAACCTAACCCTCAACGACGCAAATACCAAACGTGCCCGTACTAAGGCTGCGCGCCCTCCCACGGCTCCAAACTCTGGACCGAAGTGCGCCCATTTGCTTCGAAGGCTGCCGTCACAAGCACACCGCATCATTTCCACAGCTTTCCAACCAGCCCTGTCGTGCCTTCAGCCGTGAAGCAGGATGTCACACGCCCGCTCATTTTCGGAGCAACACCCTTCCAAAAAGCGCGACCCTCGCCTTCACCTGCTCCCGCTTTCCCCGCCAAACCATCTCCCTCCGCAGCTGGCGGAGGGAGTGCCGGCTGTGCGCGAGCAGATGGAGACCATAAACGCGCATGTGAGGACCCTGCAGGCGGCACACAGTCAGCCGAACGGCGCCACCGACCCCCTGCCAAAGGGCTTCCCGCCCGCATCCACGATGAGACACCCAGGTGAGTGGGTGGGCGGGCCGTCCAGGTGCCTCCGGAACTCAATATCGGATTCAGCAGCCAGGGCAGGGCAGGGCAGAGTAAATGCGGGTCGAGAGATGTCAGAGCAGGGCAGTGTAAGCTGGGCTAGGACAGGTTAATGCACCGTCTCTCTCCGCTCTGGACAGTCGGCCCAACCCCACAGGTAAGACGCTTGGGCCGCCATCTGTCCATTGTTAGGAGGACTTCTGGACAGAATATGACAGGGCCTTCTGGTCACGTTCACGATTGCAAAAACCAGTAAGCTTCTTCCTACAAGCTTTAACATTAGGCTTGTCTCTGCGACCATAAGAACACCTGGCATTTCCTGACAATTGCTGTGGAGCCGGGAACTACATTTCCGACGGCGTTAACGGTAACAGCCGATAGTAATGACATCACGTGCTGCACACCTGGCACGGACAGGACAGCCGGCCCCACAGCCGGTTTTTACGGGCATACCAATCCCCTATGCATGCCAAGCTGCCATGAGTCTCTTCGGGGTCCACTCGCCTATGCACATATGCAGGGGATTCGCCTATTGGTACAATGACCCGCGGGTCAGGGGCCGTGACGTCGCTCAAGGATTCTGTACTGTACGGCCAGGAGCAAACATGGGCACACTGGCGCGTTGCGGTGGACGGAAAGCCGCAGGATACAAGGCGGAAGTACCGCGGCGTTGGCGGTTGAAGAGGCGAGGGCACGGACCCTAAGTGCGGATGGAGGCGTTGGTTACAGCGGCGATGTTTGGAGCGGTGCGGTGCCGTGACCTGTGCATCTCTGCACAAAGTTCGAAATTCTGAGAGCTGCACGTATCGATACCTTGGCACAGCTAGAAGAGGCGCTGTGGTAAGCTACATCTGCCAACATGATGGCCGCGAGTTAGATGGCGGTGTGGCCCGGCACAGGTGCAAGATTGATGGAATTTTTGAACCAATAAAGTTTGTTGTGTACGTTGGGTGATGGACTTTGTATGTGCACTTCTAAACATGCATTTGTAGTGATGCACCGTAACTGTGTAGCGGGCTGATAAGAATGAAGTTCCCACGGTGTTGGAATAACGCGCATGTCACATTGCTCTCCTAGAATCTTACATCTTCGTGTCTTATTCTTTGATTACCACATAACTGATATAGTCTGGGCAATCTCGCCTGGTAATCATTCATCCTTTGTTTTGCACACGAGAGGATGCGGCGAACCCGTTCAGTCAGTTAAGGATCCAAGGATCCATTTCTATGGGGACATATTCTGTTTTGGTTATCTACTGTATGCACCGTTGTCACGAAATGATGAAGTGCTCTGTACCGACACCTCCAATATGGCGTCCCGTAATTTGTAAGCCTGGTCTCGTAAGGCCGGAAAAACGTCAGCCCTCGTCAAGTTATTGATGCAACGTAGGATGCAGTTGGTTCCGGCAATTTATCATTTACCAGGTCCCTAGGTTCTCGATATGGCAAGCACGGTCAGGCGCGAGGATGAGCCTTTAAGAAGTGGATACTCTTCTAGCAGCAGGGTGCTCCCGCAGAACACAAGAAAGCGGGCTGTGTCTTCAAAATATGATGTGCACAAGGTGCAAATGGCTTCTGAGATTGCAACCTGAGGGCGAAAGAAGCCAAAATCGCGCGCACATCCTGCGCAGGTTAAAGTTTGGCTGGGTGACAAACGGGACCACTACTACATCCTGTCGCGTTTCCTCATCAGTCGAAGCCTCACAATTACCAAGATTCCGAGCACGAAGGTAACCACCTTACGTCATCGGGGCTAGCCTGTTTTGCCCGCGCACGTGCAAGTCGTGTATGGGCGACAAAACAACGTTTACGGCCCCAACGGCATCATGAAATGCTAAAGCCCTCTTTGTCCTGCCTAAAGCATGTCATTACCCGGGGGGCCAGACAAGCTAAGCCAGGCTCAGCGTTTTAGTTCCAGCGTGCCCGCCCGCACCACGGCCACGCCCTCCCCCAGATTGCTGTGATAATCCCTGTGTACGGCAGGCGGCACTGCCTGTCCCAGAACGCCGTATCAACCAATATGTTACCCGCGTACGGCAGAAAGGTCCAGCAACACCTGTATCACCGCGTTTAGAACCCTGCAGGTGGTTGTGTCCACCTCTCCCAACATCTCGTCCTTAAATCGAACTCCCATACACAGGCAGTAAAGATTGCTTTGGACTTGAAGAAGCACCTGGTAGATCACGACAAGCTCAGCGTTAGCCAGGTGAGAAGGAGAGGAAAGACACTGTACGAAAGACACTGTTCAGCTATGTCGTACTGTACGGCAGGTGCGTACCATGCCCTTATGAAAACGTGTAAAACAGCGCATGAGAAATAGGCTGGCAGAAGGGGGCCCGCGTATTTTTGATGGGAAGGCTCAACATGGAGGCCTTGCCCAAAGCCGCCTCCAAATGGGCAGTCTGTCTGTCTGTGCGTCTATTACTGCACTTTCTGCGTTTTTATTTGGAGAATATGACATTAAAGACAAGGTATGAGTTCTAAGATGCAGCCTGGGGCTGAGGAATTCGGGTAAAGCAGCGTTAATTCGCAACAAACGTTAGGCCGATTAGGCTGAGCGCGCAGGGTGCCGTGCACGCATGTCGACGTGTCATTTGGCGACATAGGCCCCGGAAGCCTTGGGTGGAGCGTCACCAGCCGGTTTGCGGTCAGCAATGGGGGCCCCGGTTGACAGCGGTGGCGGTAGTCACAGCGCCAAATCGCCCACTCGCCTTTCCGCTGCCCGCATACTTACCGGAAACATGCCTACTGACAAACAGACATACAGACGGATAGACACTTTCCCGAAATTTGCGCACAGGCGCACGCCATGCATGCAAACAGCCGCGCACGTGTGCGCCTCAGGATGAGCTGGAGGGGACGCTGTTTTCGCTCATGCGGGAAAAAGGGTACGGCCAGCCGTACATTGATTGCTATCGTACTGTGTCGGAGTTTTACCAACTACGGCAACCCCTGGTCATCATTCTATGCGGCGCGCCGTGTACGGGTGAGTGGGATACGCCCAGAAGGGGGCAAAAGGGGAAAAAAACCCGCAGTGTAACATGTATGTACGGATATACAGCTGTACGACATCCTGCCGTACATGGAGGATCTGCGTTCTTCTCTATTCCAACGCCTCTTTCCTTGCCGCGTCCCCTTCTGTTCAACTCCGCTCGCACGGCCCTACCCAAGACCACTCTCCCCGCAACAAGTTGTATCTCGCATCACCGCCCTAAACCTCCCACACACACACACCCCTCCCGGTGCCGATGCCACGTTTTCAAATGCGTACATACATACATACATACATACATACATAAATACATACATGCACACACGGCCCCACTTACAACTCACGGCTCAGTTCATCAAACACCAGCACATGGCCGCATGCGAGCTGCGTTTCGCTGTAGGCGGGTTTCCCGCTTCAAACCCCCTCCGATCAACCCACCCCCCCGCACACACAGGCAAGTCCACGATCGCGCAGCAGCTGGCAGCTCGGCTCAACATGCCCAATGTGTTGCAAACAGATGTCATATGTGAGGTGAGAGGTGTGGGGTGGGGTGAGGGGTGAGGTGAAGGGTGAGGTGAAGGGTGAGGTGAAGGGTGGACCACACCACAACAGTGGTCGGGTGGTCATCGGGGGGCTCGCGAAGGCTGGGGACTGCCACGAAGCCCCCGCGTTACCTGTCAGATTGGATCAGTTTAGGTAGTTGGATGATTTTAAAAAACACACTGGCTTGCATTCCGCCCGCCCGCGTTCGATTCCCCCCTTACCCTGCCCTCCACCGCACCGCACCGCAGCTCATGCGACGTGGTGCTGGGGGCCCTCTGTGTCCCCGACCGCCGTGGTCACGTCCTGTGGACAGCAACGACCTCACCATCGCCTCGGACGCAGCGGCGACTGGGTTGGCCAGGGCCAGCACCCGCGACCCATGGGACATTGAAGAAAACCCACGCCCGGTACGACAAGATGCCCAATTCTCACCGCCGCCAGGCGCTGGAGGGACAGCAGAGGGATGTGGAGGTGGCGGCGACGGCGACGGCGCCGCCGTCAGCAACAAGAGCAACAACGGCGACAGCGGTACGGCATTCGTCCGCCAGTGTAGCGATGGCTGCGTCGCCGCCGCAAAGCCAGTGGCGGCGACGCGGGTAGCGGTTGGGACGAAGTGCGCAGGGGATCTGCAGGAGGGGCGTAAGAGGGAGTTGTGCGATGGTTGGGACAGAAGCGGTGGCGATGGTGGCGGCAACAACGGTGGCGGCGGCGGCAGTAGCACGTCTATGGATGCCTGGTTGCTGTCGGAGTTTCAGAGCGAGTGTCGCCATGTACGGCGGGCACTCCAGGGGGACTTTAACAAGGTAGGTTGTTCCGGAAGGGCGGCGGGAGGGGGGAGGGGGCGGTGAGGGGGAGCTGGTGAAGTGAGTGGGGGGAAGTAGATAGCCAGATGTATGTCGGGGGCTCAGGGATGTCGACAGCCTGGTGTGCTGAGCTAACGTATGTTGGTACGTGTGCGTCCATCCATCCGCCCATCCATCCATGCCCCCCTTCGCACCTGACATGCCCCCCCACATGGCCCTTCACCAGGCCCTGGGCCGCGATACGTGCGTGTACCCCGCAACCCCGGGGTCCCCATGAGCTCGGCACTCGAGGGTTTTTGTCCGCTGTGCACACACACACACACGCGTGTGTGTATGTATATATGCTCTTATGCAGATGTTTACCCCTCGTTTCCCGCTCTCATCCACCCGCTCGTGGCTCATCTTCCCCCCCTTCTCCCCCCCTTTCCCCCCCGATGCCCATTGTGTGTTGTAAGGCCCTCCAGGACGGCAAGCCGCTGATCCTGGAGGGCGTCCATTTGGATCCGGGGCAGCTGCTCAGGGAGCTGCAGGTCGGTTTTAGATCGGTTTTAGATCGGTTTTACAAGGTTTTGTTGTCAGGATTTATAAGACAGTGTGGCGCTATGTTAGCTTGGCTGTGCTCTTCCCTGTGATTTCTGTCGCCCTCCCCTCCTACCCACTTCCCCGCCTCCCCTCTATTCCGCTCCATTGCGTTCACCGATTCGCTGCTGTGTTGTAGCACTGACACTTTGCATGTGTGTCACGCTCTCATTCCCCCTCCCCCTCACCCTCCCTCTCCCGCTCCGCCGCCAAATCACGTCTTCATATCGCATTATGTACGACATTACGTCACCCACATCAAAAACGGGGGGGGTCTATCAGGATCTGGGTATCGTCATCCTGCCTGTGGAGCCCCCGCCAGCCACACCCGTCAGCAGCAGCAACCGGAGTGATCAGCGCTCCCCGCCGCCCCAGCTGGTGAGTCAGGGCAGTGCAGCCGGGTGGGGAGACTTAGCCGCCGCAGCCGCCTCCGTGCCTGTCGTCGTCGGAGCGGCATTTGATGGTGCGGGAGGTGCTGATGAAGGGGAGGAGGAGGAGGAGAAACTCGATCGACGCAGCGGCAGCGGCGGCGACAGTGAAAGGGAGGGCGAGATCCGCGGTTCGACGTGGGGGCTGCGACGGTGGCAGCCATCGCCGCCTCCGTTGGGTGCATCCGACGGGCGGCAGCAGCAGTCGCCGCAGCCGGAACTATCGCCGCCGCCGCCGCCGCGGCTGCCGTACACGCGGACGTGTGCAAAGCATGTGTCTTGGGGCTGCCCGGCGAATGGTGGCGACGTCCCGGGGGCCAGTCTGGGAGAGATCCCGCGGGGGGCCGCGGGTGAGGAAGTGGGAGGAGGCGAGGGGGGAAAGACGCGCGAGGCGGCGGGGGCGGAGGATGCTGACAAGGCGGGGGAGGAAGGGCATTCCCGAGACGGTGAGGAGGAGGAGGACGAGGACGGGCGTAGGAGCGGAAGTGGAAGCGGATGCGGCGGTGGCGGTGTTGGTGGCGGCAGCGCTTTGCGCCGGCGGCGGCGGCGCGCGGCGTTGCGAGCGGCGGCGACGGCGGTGCCGCAGCGGCTATCACAGATCCGTCCGTCGGCTTCGGCAGCGCCGCAGGTCAGGGTCGCGGCGGCGGTGGCGACGCCGCCGAAGCCGACGGCGGCGGGGGCGGGGGCCGTACCTCCTTCGGGGATGACATCGAGTGCTACGGAGAGGCATCGGGGATTGGAGGAACGGGGAGACGGCGATGAGAGCGGACGCGTACGGCAACACGCAGTCTCATTGACCCACGGGTCATGTCTCGCAGCTGCTCCCGCCACGGCCCCGGGGTTGACGGTTGACACGGCGGCGGGCGAGCTGGATGAGCGGGACAGCCTGGAGCGATGTAGGTACGGCAGGCAGGTTGTTGTACGACACGGTTACACATGCTGTGAGTGCCTTTGCGTGCAATCGATGCTGAAGGAAAGGGGGTAGCGGTGAAGGCCGGCGTGCAGTCTAATCTTTGGCCTAGTGGCCGCCGCCGGTGTATTGTCGGCAGCGGTGAAAAAATGAATGAGCTATGCGCCCGGCCTCCCGCAGCACCCCCCAATGCATTTCCGCATCACCCCTGTCGTGTTTGTTAGTTGTGTGGTGATTGCATTGGCCGTCACCGTGAAGGTGAATTTCCTGTTATATCCCCCTGTTATATCCCCCTTTGATAGAAGAGGTGGTTCGCATGATTTGCCTATCCAGGTGGAGCGGGGTGTCATCCCACGGCGGCAGCAGCCCGCGTGCGCCGCCAGACGACCTCGACGATGGAGCGTCTGACGTCAACAACTATGGCGACGCCGACACTGACGGCGCCGTCAGCGGCGGCAGCTCGCCGCTGCGCGGCGCGTCACCAACTCCGCCGTCCCCGCCGCCGCCGCCGCCGCCAACCTCATTGGATAATCTCAACGATGCGCTTCCGCCGCTCCGTCGGGCGAAATCCCACCCGGCCCTCTTCACCGCTGACAGTTCCGCCGCGGCACCCGTCGACCTGCAGGAAGGGGATCCGTCGGCGGAAAACGAGGTCGTACATTCGGCGGCGGACAGGGCAGTACGGTGGCCCAGTGGGTTGCAGTGGGCTGATGGGGGGGACGATGGCGGCGGCAGCGGCGGCGGCGGCGGCGGCGGGAGCATGTTTAGCGCCGCCGCACAAACCACGCCAAGTGGTGAAGTGGACACCGTGGCGGCGGCGCCGCCGCCGCCGCCGCCACCACCGCCGCCAGTCTTGCGGCGTCCGGATCGGTCTCGGAGCCACCAGCTGCTGTATTCAGCGGCAGTGACGGCGACGGGGCCACCAGGCCCCCCTCCCCAGGCGCTCCCTCATCCGCTGCCGTACCATCTCCAGCAGTCACCCGCCCGGGAAGGTGGGGGGTTGGATGTGAGTGGAAGGGGCTTCTGTCGCAACGGCAGCCTCTCCTCGATGGATATGCTCAGCGTCAGGAACAGGTGCGACAATGAGAAAAAACTTTTTGTGTGTGTTGGGGGCGGGCCTCGAACCCGGCGCTGAGATGGGAACAGCTTGGAAAGGAGGAAGGAGGAGGAGCAGCAGTAAGAGATTCAGTACAAGCGGACAAAATCAAGACGAGACAGACAGGAGTTCAAAGAGGGCCTTCAACGTGTTGTTGGGAGCGCAACACCCTTCCTGGCGCCTTCTTGGCTATGACCTGATGTACGTCTGTCTGTATGTATGTATGTATGTATGTATGTATGTATGTATGTATGTATGTATGTATGTATGTATGTATGTATGTATGTATGTATGTATGTATGTATGTATGCCCCTTGGTCTGCCGCAGTCTGGCTGGTATCCTCCGCATGGGCAGTGTGGCCCACGGGTCGCGGCACAGCCCCTCACCTCGAATACACCGTGGGGGGCTGCCGGGTGAGTGAAGGTCGTTCGGGGGGGGGAGGGGTCGGGGGGGGGAGAGAAAGGCGGGAGCAGGGGAAGTAGGAGGAGGGTGAAGTGAAGTGAGTGGGGGAGCTGCAGGGCCCCCTAGGTGGGTGTCCTGCTTCCGGTTGCCCTCCCCGCTAGACAGCGGGATGTCCTTAGAACCCATCCTCCTTTGGAGACCCTCGACTGATGGATTTATTTTCTCCTCCCGCCGCATACACAGTCGCACACGCATACACTCACACGTGCACGGCTAGCTTTACGTCGGCAGTTGATGGTCTTGGCATTCATCATTATCATCATCATCGTCATCGTGTGATCTCCCCTTAAGGCCACCCACTCACCCACCCACTCACCCACTCACGCGGGCTGCTGTCCCACCCACCGCCCTAATCCAGGCCGCGCGGGTAGCAGCTGCGCCACCTCCCCCGACACCGCCGCCGGCCCCACCCCCGTCGCCCACGTCCTCACCCGGGTCGCACCGCCGCGCACCACCGGCACCGCTGCAGCCGCCCACACACCGCCCGCGCACGTGAGTGTGCCGAGTCACCATCACACCGCTCATCTGCAGCTGGCGCCTCATGACGTACTACTGCTACAACAACAACAACAACAACAACAGCAGCCGGGACTGCCGCCGCCGCTGGTGCCGTCACAGCAGCCCCAGCCGCCGGAGCGGCAGCAGCTACAGCCGCTGAGGAGAGGGCAGCAGCAGGACGCGATTTCGCAGGACGCACCACCGGCGAAACACCAGTACCAGTACCAGCACCAGCACCAGCATCAGCACGTACAGAAGCAGCAGCTGAAGCTGACGCAGGAACAGGAGCAGCCGGGAGGCAATCCAAGGGGCGGCGGTGCCGCCATCGGAACTGCCGGAGATACTGGTGACGAGGAGGACGGTGCGGGTGCGGGTGATGGGAATGCAGGTGGTGGTGAAGGTGGTGGTGGTGGTGAAGGTGGTGGTGAAGGTGGTGGTGAAGGTGGTGGTCATGGCGATGTGGGGGTTGCAGGGGGCGCGCTGCCGGGAGTGGTGCGGGTGCGGGTTCAGGGCTGTTCGGTGCCCGGGGGGGAGGAGGCGACGGAGGGCGGTGCCGTGATACCGCCAATGGAAGCGAGAAGACGGAATGCGGCCGCCGCCGCCGCCGCAGCGGCAGCGGTGGCGGCCGCGGCCTCGGCAGGAGAAGTGGCGGCGGTAGCAGTGGTAGTAGCGGAACGGGTGTCTCTGGACCGCCGTGAACCAGAAGTTGCTGACGCGGACCGGAGCCCCTGGGTGACCACCGAGCCCGAGCAGGACTCGGGGGGTTGCATGCGGCCACAACGACGGCAACCGCAGGAGGCGCCGCACCACCATCACCACCACCACCACAACCCCCAGCAGGAACAGCAGCAGGAGGGGTGCCCGCAAGAGGTGGAGGAGGTGGGGCAAGGAAAGGAGGCGGCGGGAGCTACAGCCAATGTGGCAGCGGGAGGAGGGGCGGCTACAGCTGCACCCGCACCCTCACAGCCGCCAGCCGGGGCCACCGATGGAGGTGCTGGAGGGGGAGCGGGAGGGGGAGGGGGGGCGTCTCTTCCGCCCCTCTTCGTGCCAATAGTGTTGCGAATGAGCGAGGTGAGTGAGTGAGTGGCAATGATACAATCGAGTTGTCCCTTAGGCACCCAGACAGTTAGTTTAGGTTAGATGGGCTCTTGGGCCCTGTCCGTCACCCCCACGTGGAGGCACATCCCCGTGTGTGTGTGTGTGCGACTCCTATCTTGATTACTTTCCTGAGCGGCTTTTGCCGCCCTTGTGTCCCTCCCCATAAGCTATTGCTGTTGGTCGGCATGCTACGGCTACTGGCATTGCTACTGCTGCTGCTGCTGCTACTGCTGCTACTGAACTGGCGCTGTTCCGCCTGATCGCCTCTTCGTAACAATCCATCCAACTACCAAATTACACCCGACCCCACCACATACCCACCACCATACGTGCCCCTGCAGGCCGACCACCGTCTGGCTCTTGAGGACAATACGGCAGTGTACGACAGGGGCGGCGCTGGCGGCGGCGGGGGCGGTGCTGGCGGCGGCGGCGCCGACAGCACCCGCGCCACCATTGCCACTGGTGACATGGTGCTGGCGGGGCGGGGGGTCGCGGCTGTGGGCGGTGGGGAGTGCGAGGGCCCGGGAGTGGAGGAGGTGCTGCGGAGGGCCCAGTCCATTCAGCGGTACCTGTGCGGCTTTGAATGCCAGGTGAGCCGCGAGCCGCTCTTGAGGGCCGACCCATGGGTCAATCTGGTGCTCTTGCCTGTGTCGGTGGTGGCGCGGAAAGAAGCAGGGGTCCGGTCCATGTAATGTGTAGTCGTGGCGGAGGCGGCGGAGGTGGCGGAGGAAGGAGGGAAGGAGGGAAGGAGGGCCAATGCGGGGGTTGGGGGGGAAGGCGGGGGGCGTTAGGGTAATGAAGGGGTTGCTCAGATGGCGGTGAGATGGGGGGGAAAGGACAGGGCTGTGGCGGTGTTTGCCCTAGTCGTACATTTATCGCGCGGGGAGGGAGAGGTGAAGCCGGATATGATAATGCAGATTAAGAGGAGGAGGAGGAGAAGGAGGAGTGCTGCAGTACGAGCTATAGCAATAGTTCGGAGTAACCACCTCCGGCACTGTCTTCCTTTCCTCTTTCTCCCCTCCCCTCCCTCTACTACTGAAGTCATCACTGGTCAGTTGCCGCATTCGTCTCCTCCTGGACTGTACCCGTCTACCTCGGGTATCTGATTCACTCGCCGGTCGTTCGTCTTCAACCCCTCTCCCTTTCACCCCACCCCCCCACCGGCCCATTGATGGATTCGGATGGAACGAATACTGTGTGGCGGGGCCTTATCCACGGTGGGCAACACGCACAGGGTATGCCGGTAGTCAACGTCCAGTACGGCAACTTCAATGAGGCGCTTGACGTACTGCACGAGTACGTCCTCATGTGTATCCAGGTGGGCGTTATAACGTTCCAATTTGTTGATTGTTCGTCTGCATGTTTGTCCGCCTCGACGGCCTCCCAGTCCGCTAGCACGCAAGCTCCCAGCAGGCACCGAACCCGAAAGCATTGCAGCAGGACGCTCGTTTCCCACCCCCCATCAATGAAGGTGTGGCGGCCGGGTTTCCGTTAGTTAGTTCGTTATTAGTTCGTTAGAGTTTCCACTTTGATGTGTGACATTCCGTCGGACAGAGTCTGCGCGCATGTCACACCATGTTTTGTTTCACGTCTGTCTGTCTGTATGTATGTCCTCCTGGCTTCGCGTCCTCACTCCGGCTCCGCCGCCACCTGCCCCTCAATTCGGGGTGTCGGAACCCCGTCCTACACACACACCCTCACACACACACAGTCACGACCTTCCCCGCCCACCACAAAAAAAGCAGGAAATTAAATTTCACCCACGGCCATTGCTTGACCCACCGCAGGCAGCCATGGAACAGTTGTACGAAAACCGGGGTAGCGACCACGACGTCGGGTCGGCGGCGGCTGTGACGGCGGCAGTAGCAGCTGCGGCGGCGGCAGCCGCGACAGCGCAATAGCAGTCACGACAATCGACAATGCGCAGCGGGTGGCATATATGGGGCGTATTGCGGTTGGGGTGGTTGGGTTGGTTAGGTGGTCGTTGGTGCAACACGTGGCGGCGTGGGATGCGGTTTAGTGCGGGAAGAGGGCTAGGGAGGAGCTGTAGCGGTGAGTGATGGTCCGCTAGGGACAGCCGACCTTTCGGTGTTCTGCGAGTTGCGGATATGGTGAAGGCGGATGCTGCAGATGGGGTGGAGGTGGAGGAGGAAAGGATAGAGGAGGAGGGCGTTGAGGGAGTTGAACGCGGAGGGCGTAACGCGGCAAAACAAGCATCATTAAACGTCAGCTTCCCTACCATACCATCAACGGGAGATATACATACGTAATTACACACATGCGTAATTGCAACATGAAAGAGTGAGGAGCCCAGTCCAGGCCGTCTGGAGACGTAAGGTATACTTGAAGTTTGGTTTTTCTCGGCATTGTGAAGTTGATATGAGTTGGAGTGAGCAGACATCGGTATTTGAGTTGTAAACAACAGTACAATGTATGTGCTACAGGGCGCCACAGGGCCGAGTGCGTCGCCCGTACACACATCCTACCTGGGTACCGAGGCTACAATTACATGAATCGACACGCGGCTCAACCTCCCCTCGACGTCCGCACCTTGGTTGCTGGCCACCTACCCTCCTAGCCAGCTCTAGCCAGCCCTAGCCAGCACTAGGCAGCACTAGGCAGCTCTAGCCAGCCCTAGCCAGCCCTAGGCAGCCCTAGGCAGCCCTAGCCAGCCCTAGGCAGCCCTAGGCAGCCCTAGGCAGCTCTAGCCAGCCCTAGCCAGCCCTAGGCAGCACTAGGCAGCACTAGTCAGAGGAGGTATATTGAGGGCCTCTGCTCACCACAGGACATGCACCTGGTAACCAACCTTGCAGATACCCAGCCACCGTGTCTAGCAACGGGACACCGGGCAAGAAGGCGTCCAAAGCGGCGATAGGGCCCTCCAGGAGGATATCTTACATCACGACTGGGCTCCTACTGCGACATTTGTTATGCCTGTGAAAGGCGACGGGAATGCGACGGCAGCGATATCGCTCCTGTGGAACCCTCCCGGCGCTTTGCACCCACCGTCAGCCGTCACGTGATAAAGGCACAAAAAGTGCTTAGGAGTGTTAACAATCCCCGCCTCTCCTGCATTCCCCTGTTTTCAGCATCTTTCTCTTTTGCTTTCCTGATAGGGGCGCAACCCTGCAGCACTGTTGTATATAAAACTGTACAAATGTACAGCGACGACGATAAGGTGTCAATGCGCTTGCTCCCATCGCTTGCCACAACCCAAACGATTTTGCATAAGCAGCGCGCTCGAACTTGTATACACACGCAAGCACACACGAATAGATTCAGGTTTTACGCGCGGTCATCAGACACGTATGGGGCGATACATGGGGCCGAACCTTGCACCGTACGTGCTTTATACATTCCTGGTTACATGACAGCACATACTGACCTACAAACCTACCGCAGCACACCACTGATCAGGTCTCGGTTCCTTTGTCACCTCATTCACCTCAAGCGAAAACGAAGCAGTTTGAATTACGCTACCTTCATACAAAAAAAAGGACACCCTGCGCCCCGCTGGGCGCCGGAAGCACCTCGCACGCCTTTGCATAGAGACGCCAGACCTGTTGACTCCCGCGATGGAGCCCGGCAGTGACAACAAAACATTATTATTAGCATTTGTCATAAGCAAAGCAAGGAGCTCATCTTTAGAATGAATTCAAATTACCCCCCCTGCTGCGAACCCACTAATGAGTGAAGCGTTGTGTCGTTTGCTTGTTTCCAGCAGATGCCCACTTCGCCGACGGCATACATACATTTGTACGACCAAATATGGCCTACCGTACAACCATCCTGCCATTTCACTCGTCCAACGAACCCTGCGGGAACCTGTCCAATGAAGACATGCATTCATGCACGTAACGCCTACGAGAGAACCGACGATGGAGCTCAATACGTTGGTTGAATGCAACCCGGTAACTCTTCGACCTTCGCATCGCTTTTGCTCTAAGTTTACCCCCCGTGTACAAATGTCTGCCTCTTTGTCCGTAGGTATGTATGCACGCATGCTGCACGCCAACTAACACCAGCTGAAGAGCGGGCAACTCCAAATCGCGCCCGAGCATAGAAACAAACCCCCGAACATGGGGGTACAATCCCTCGGTTGAAACTCGCTGCCACTCTAGCTCCCTCATTGCATCCGCCAGCTTTTGAACGAGAACACCCCCTGGGCATCTGCTAGTGAGAGGCATGAAGCCAGGGGAACCTCCAAGATTTCGCTGCTAAACTACTGTTAAGTCGCCACAAAACAGGAATATCGGATGGATAGATGCGTTCATCGCCACAGCAAATCTCTTCTCGCAATGCTGCTTCTTCAAGGTGAAGTACGGCACGAACGCCATCGAATCGCTCAACAGCCTTCACAGTAGGTGAAGTACGGCAGCAACCACTCGAACCGCCGCCGCCGTCGGGGGGGGCTGGTATTGCACCAGCGGCCACCGCTCGGCAGCGGCAGCAAAGTAGGGGCATCAAAACCACCGTTGCTTGACGTTGGGCGGCTGCTTGTGCTGCTGCTGCTGCTGCTGGTCCAACTGGTCCGTCCGCAGGTGCTAGCACAACACGCTGCAGCTGACACATCCTCATCCATGCACAAGTCAAACACGGGGATGCAGTACACGCCGGAAAGTGGCAAGATGGATGCCGATGGCGCCGCTGAGGACGATGCCGCCGCTGGCGCTGCCGGCGATGGCATTGGCGTCGCAGCTAGCGATGTGGATGCAGGTGCAGGTGCAGGTGGAGATGCCGCTGGCGATGCGGGCCATAGCGACCGCAATGCCGATGGCGGCCGTGGCAAGCCACGCTGCGACCCGCAGGTCGTCGCCGTCCGCTCACTGGCGCTGCGCTTAAAGTGCTTTCCTGCCACTGGCGGCGCCGCCGCTGCTGACATAGCCGGCGCCGCTGCTGCCGGCATTAACGCCGTCTCGTCTTTGTCAGCAGCTTGCAGCACTGATAACTTACAGGTTATTTTCTCTGCTGATTCACTTCCCACACAGCCAAACACTCCCGCCACAACGAGAGTCCAGTACGAGTTTGCCCGTGCCCAGCCCATGTGAGATCCGTGGGGGCTTAGAATGATATTGCGGTGCCCCGGGCTTCGCATCCACCCGGCCAGGACCTCCAACTCGCTGTGGAAACCTTCCGCCACGATCTCAGCCACATGCCAGCAGTGGACGCCCTCCGCGGCCACTCGGCTGGCGGGGGTACTGCCGTCAGCGCCAGTCCGGCCGTGGTAACCGTTTGCGGCCATGTCGCAGCTGCGCCGCTGCGCGGCGCGCGAAATTCGGGCATCGGCTGAGAGGGCCGGGAGGCCGCCATACAGCCAGCGAATGAGGTTGACCAGCTCCAACATGTCCAGTAATGAGGACGGATTGTTGTGTTCGCTGATTTCCTGTTGGAAGTCGTGCGACAATGCAGGCCGCACTGCTCGTTCCTGTAATTTCGGGGCATGCAGTTGGGGGCAGAAAAAAAAGACGTTATAGAATAAAATATCTTTAAAAATATCGGTAAGTTTGGGGAATGGGAGTTTGAGCCCGCTGAAGTAGCTCTGCATGGAGAAGCCTATGTAGGTCTATTTTGTGGCTCACGGCGCCAAACATGTAGGCGGCTCAAAACCTTCACATAGCTAAATTTTTGATTTCAGTAACACCGCGAAACTCTAGAGATCTTGCCTGGTGGCGTTGAACAGGCGAATCCTCGCCATCGCGCTTCCGAGAAAACAAACTTGAACTGCGGAAAAATTTCATACTTCTTAAATACCTATATAATTTGCAGGATGTATTAAAGCCCACAGATGTTTATCGGGACAGCCTATCCCTGATCCTTGAATATGTTTGAGCTGCAATCATAAAAGGTGGGCTGGAGTGTACCGCGAGCACGGGCAGCAACAGGCAAGGTGATTTGATTCCCCGTGCACCCGCCAAAGCTACTTGATTACATGTATTATACGAACTTTTATGCGATGTGCTTTTCTCCGGTACTTTCTCATGATGTTAGCGTATCCCAACGTGAGCTTGTGACCTGCACCCGCAGGAAATCCCAGCCACCTATTGAGATTTAAAAAAAATTGTTGAGAAGTCATTTGCATATTTTGCATAGTTTCCAGGCGGGAACGGCAACCAGATGCCTGTTCAGGACTTGCTGGTCCACAGCTATCTCCTTATCGTTACATTCATCGTTGCTTGGACCATTCATTACCACTCAAACACGCGTGCGGTTACTACCCTCGTAGTCCGCTGTTCCGTTTCTCGGCAACATGCATGCAACATCTGCATCGTGCACACAAATGTGATTTCGCGTACGCGCACGGGCGCACGCTTTGCTCATATTTGCTGGCATGGTAACCGTTGTTGCTTATTCTAGGTGCGTTTGAACATATATTTCCCAAGCATCGAAACCCTGAGGTTCCGAGTCCCGAGTTCCGACTTCGCTCAAGGCAAGCTTTCCATCTTACAACTGAAGCGCGCGCGCGTGTGCTGACTGAACCCCGTCGCAGTGCAGCGAAGAGTTTCATTATCCGACTCTGACGGAAATACATATTGTATGTCTCGTTACACTATGTTCCTTATGTGCTTCCCCTTTTCCCCCGTCTCAAAGGAGGCTAGGACACAGGGTCAGGGAGAGCAATTCTTTGGGCTGCCCCGGGTCTCGAGCAGGCCGGCCGGCAAGCCTCGGGTCGGCGATGTGTGCACGCGCATAGCAAAGAAGCTTGCCTTCCTGGATAACGTCGGACTGCCACCCACCTTAGTTCACCGTATCGCGCGGCCTATATCCAGCTACCTAGTTACCTCCCACTATCTATCCACCAACTGGGTCTCAGAACTGCTAACTGCGGGGTTTAGTCGCAAGGAAAAGGACTTCCAAAGGGTTCGAACCGCGATACTCTCAAGGCGCTGTCGTTGAGTCACCAGGCACCAAAGTGGGGGCGTCCAACGCACGGAGGCGAGGAAGCAACCGAAGAGTGCAATAAGATGGAAGTAGTAAGCCTGCTTAATGTGAGCATGGTTAGCTTAACCGTGGTGACCTTAGCATCCTTTGAGCCATCTACGAGATTAAGGAGGGCTGGAAATATGAGATCCAAGATAAATCTATGGATCTGGATCTGACGCATGGGATCCATGGACCTTCCGTGCTGTGAAGGGTCGCGCGAGTACCACACTGGGTACATCCCCCCCTTCGCTGTCCGGTGGCACAGACAGTAGCGGACCAACTCACTCTGTCGATGGGATTGCCAGTCTCACGTGAACAACTTTGGCTTGTCCAAGCCCCACAAACAGTGCAACAATGTGTTTGGGATGTTGTGGCTCTTGCTGCGATGTCAGCATGAGAGACGATATACATGGCTGCAGCCATGAAAACTAACCCGGCACTGTTACCTGGCCCTTCCCTTACGGAAGGAGCCATTTGTCGAGTTATTGTTGACTTTTGGGGCCGCCTTAGGGTTTCGCAGCTCTGGGAGTTCCACGGAAAGGATGGGATTCTGTTGGGGCACATCACTCCTCCTTGCGAATTGTGTCAGGCAAATTGTTATGTTCACGGGAGCGGTCACCGATGGACGATTAGTTATCACCTATTTTGCTTCTTTTTCAGATTCACTCAATGGGAGGCTCATGCCTCTTTCAGAAATGGTTGTGGGTCCTGAGCCTTTCCCTTGGTCGTGCTTTTGACTGTCTAGATGACTTGCGTTGTCTCATTTGGGTGGAAGTCTAGTTCGTATGTTAGTCTCTAGTCCAGTGCACGGCCCGCTGGCCCGCTGGCTCTGCTCTTCGTGAGCCTGGAGCCCACTGTAACAACCACACACACCCCGGGTGGAGTAGGGTGGAGCTGTACATGGCGACTGGGTCAACCCTGGAGGTCCCTGGAGTCAGGACTCAGGGGTCCATGAGCGAAGGTCACTTTTGTTTAGGTGTGGCTGTTACATGCGCCTGCAGGGCGACCAGGCATCATGCACCGTGCTTGCTTCGCTGGACTGCTTGTTGGAATGGAATCCTGCCGTGTCCCTGCCCCGAGTTACTTCTGGATGTCCTGCAGTAACATCGACAACAGGTTCGGAACCGTCCATCCCTGCGGGGCGCAATGCGCACATAATAGCAGCTTGGTGTGGCACACCACTTGTGCGAGAGCTATGCCGGCATCCCCGGCAACAGATTTTCTTAGGGGCGGGGACCTGCCGGCGCGGCTTTCCGCCGTAAACGGGGACCTTACGAACTCCCCGGAAGAATGTCTAAAGTTTGGGAATAAAAAATTGCGCATATCTGGCGTTACTTTGACCCTGCATGAATCAAGACAACTGTATGGAAATGCGACATGTATAATGAAAAGCGAAAATGTTGGCATCCGTACATTGGCATCCGAACCGTTTGCTATGTCTCATTTCCAGATACAAAATCCTCTACAGTCATGTGAATGGTGTTTGATTTAGTTTGGAAACGCGAGAAGCCACGGTAGGCAGGTTTGAACGTTGCAACGCACATTTGCGCTTTTTGAACGAACTGCAGCAAATGCACATCTGATGCACGTTTATATGGTATCCATTCCACAGGGTAGCAGAGGTCCGTGCGACCGCCTCCGCGATAACGGTAGTTGGGCACACTGCAGTTGGAGTACTGCAGTGGGGAATGGCTTCTGATGGCGGGGCTGTTGGAGTATGGCGGAGTATGCAGCAGGAGCATAGGGAGAATGAAGTCTCACTTTGATGGGTTGCACAGATAGGGAGGCGCTCCAGTCTCGCTGGCATCCTGAAGGCTGAACACGGTCGAGGAGAGCTATAGTTATCAGTGGTGTTTTAAGCTGCCCCTGCTGTAAAGGGGGCCAAGATGGTCATGTTCGACCCGTCGGTATCAGGTCTCTCCTAAATAAGCGTTCTCCATGGCTTTTAGGTGTATAGATATTGCCCTTGGGCCTTTTACAGGTATGGGGTCACACACCCCCAACCATGTGCGTGTGTGTGTTACATGGCAATATCTATACGCCTAAAAGCCACGGAGAACAGGAAACACCGCACATCAGCCCAGACTAGCGTCCAAAGGGGGTAACTGAGTTTCGGTGAGCCCAGATACGTTCCAACATCCTCGCCAGATGTGCTGGTTCCCATTTCATGGCTCCAACATGCTCTGTTGATGATCGAATCCCTCTTCAGCACGAATATCATTATAGGCTGGGCATTCTAATAACACGTGTTTTTCATCCTCCAAACCGCTGCTCCCTGGGGACATGGTACTTGCTTCGTGCTCTGTTTGCCTCCAAAGCCCAGCAACATAAACGAAACTGCATTAGCTTACGATGTGTCGCCCTGATGTGCTCTAACAAAACGTGCAGCACTGGGACGATACAGTTCCTTCGGCTCGTATGGGTAGTTTTACAGGTATGGGGTCACGCACTCCCAACCATGTAACACACACACACACACACACACACACAATAAGTGTGGGACACCTGGTGTGTGGACAGGACTGACATTAGAATGAGGTCCTAAACTTGGCACTGTCCATCGGTTATTGATGTTATATAGCCAAGCGTGCGCTTCGAAAGTCCAACTTCACCAGAACCCATAAATCCAGCCTTGCGACTGTTACAGGCCATACCGGCACAGCAGGGAAGCCAAATACCTTACAGCCCAAAGTCATCCCCTCGACCCCAAAGCTTGACCACATACTTCTTAAACCTAAATAAAATTATAGCCAAGCGCGCGCCATTGGCCGATGGCCACTCCTGAGATGCCGTCACCGCTGCCACCTGCTGCCGTACGAAGGCCAATCCTGGGACACTGTCATCGCTGCCACCTGCTGCCGCAGCGATAGGTGGCATTTTCCAGCTCGTGAGGACTTTGCATCACCACAACATGGGCATGAGTTGAGGGTCCCAGCCAGAGGTCGGCAAACCCTGAATAACTGTCACGGGTACTGGTGCCAGGGGGGGGACTCCCAGCCGGCCATCCTTCTAAGGCTTCTGGGAAATCTTCTTCAAGGCCTTGCAGATATTTTTTGCAGGTTTTAGCCCGTTTTTTTGCAGGCTAAAAGCTTTGCGTGCTCTCTTCCTAGTTGGTGCCACTGTGACCTTTTTGCTCTTGAAAAACTTCGCGAAGGGATTGTCTATGTACTTCATTTGCAATAAAGGCTACATCAAAGAAATGAGAGTTTACATGAAGCTATGTAAAGAGTGTAGAAAGCATTATTGGCGTTTGCCTGCTTATAGGTGCACTACGAGTCCGCGGTGCATGACTCCTTTGTACTGGAGGTATGCGGCCTAATGGTGGTATTATGTTGAGCTCTCCTGATTACAAATATGCAGTAGTTTTTTATTCCCAAACTTTAGACATTCTTACGGGGAGTTCGTAAGGTCCCCGTTCACGGAGGAAAGCCGCGCTGGCAGGTCCCCGGCCCTAAGAAAATCTGTTGCTGGGGATGCTGGCATAGCTCTTGTGCGACCAGCAAACGTATGAATAATAATAAAGGGATTCCTAGCACGTGCACAACAAGTTTTAAATGCTTTTCTTGTCCTTTCAATATGGTGTTAAGAGCTTTGCAGAGGTGTAGTTACTTAGTAGAGTTGCATGAATGAAGGGTATCTCTGGTGCCATTGAGTCACATGCAGACACTTGCTCAAGTTCTAGCTTTGCCATTCATGAACACAACCGAAGACGTATAGATGTTTCAATTGCTCGTACGTTTTAAAAACAAAATGTGCCACCACAACCAAAAGCCAAACAATAATTGCATGAAATATTTATCGCACTTTCTACGGTTGTTCCTCAAGGCATGATTTTATTGCTCCCCTAGCCTGGTGCAACAATCTGCAATCGCGACAGGCAGTTGAAGCAACCTAGGACATGTCGTTTCGCGCAGGAGGACAAGGTACTTTGAACCCGAGCACAAAACGCTTACAATTGCAAATTGAGGCGGGTGGGTCATCCAAGCACACTTACGTGCGTAGGCGGAGGCTGGGGAGGCGGAGGCGGCAGAGGCAATTGGAACGGCGGCAGGGGAGGCGGCGGCCGTGGTGGCGGTGGCCCTGGGAGGGGCGGGGGTGGTGGCGGCTGGAGCAACCAGGTGAGCAACTTCATCCCCTTTCCCAGCCCACCTCCATGGCCCCGCTTTGATTGACCGTCGAACCTCCAGCTCCTTACCCCCGCTCTCTCACACACACAAACATTTCCCTTCTTCCCCTCCCCCCTCTTGCTCACTTGGCTTGCAGAGCCCGGGCCGTGGCGGATCAAATTACGGCGGCAACAACTGGCAACAGGGCCAAGGTGCGTGACTCCCTCCCTCCCTCCCTCCCTTTCCCCCCCTCCCCATTCCCGCGGGGCCGCCTGACCCCCTGGTCATGTGTCATGTGGTGGTTGCAGGCAACCGCTTCGGAGCCCTTCAGCAGCAGCAGCCTCAGCAGCCACATGGCGGCAGGTGCGACCCATAGCGGAGCGGGGGGTGGTGAGTGTGTGGGGGAGCTGATGTGGAAA